TTCTTTCCATCGTTTTCTTTTGTATCTATTCTACTATTATACACCACTAACTACTACTAACTGTTTTACGGTCTCAGGAGAATGGAAAAAGAATAGGAAAAAGCTAGAGAGGGAGCTAGAGGAAGAGACTCAAAAAAAAGTCACTCTATTAAGAGTGCATACAATATAGTGAAGGCTTTTACCCGTAAAATAGATATTACACTAATACACTTTAGTAGACCTTAATTCTATTGGTATTTATTATTTCACGGGTTTAATGCCTTCACTCTATAAACATTAACAAGTTTACTAACGAAATTGTGCATTGTTTTGTTTCTAAGTTTTTCAAATTCGTGCAATTTCATTCTGGGACGAATACAAAATTGAGTCGAGTTGGCATTGCAGTGCATTGTGGGACTGTTAAGGGTACATATTTAGAAGATGGCGTCTATCTCGTGTGAAAATCCCATAATGCACTATAATTCCAACTCGACCCAGCTTTTCCTCAACCTTATAATGGCGAATATCATCTATATTATTTTGAAAGGGGGTTTAATTTAGCTTGTAAAGGGGGGCTACGAAATCATATTTCAGTTGTAAAACCCAGAATTGTGGACTCTTGCTCTTATTTATTTTAAGCAGGCCAAGGACAATCACTCCGTTGGTGGCATATCTATAGGACAGGTCTATGACAAACCAATAAACCACACTCACAAATTTTCTGTATATCTAATAACATCTTTATTAAACTTGATAACTTCTGTTACATTCATGCACAATATTAGTGATATAACTATGAATATCCCCAGTGTACCCCAAGTCACTCGTTACTTTAGTTTGTCTGTGGTTGTGGGTTGGTGATGTACGTGGTTTAGTTTTCGCAAACTTGGTTGACTTTATTAAGTTTTTTWTTTATTTTTATTTTTATATTTTTCGTCTTCGTTATGTTTAATTTCTTGTTTTAAGTTTAGTTTTAATTGTTTTGTTTTTCAGTTTTTTTATTTTGGAGTGTTTTGCTGTTTTTATGTTCATAGATAATAACTTATACTTGTTAAATAATCCTCTACATTTATATATCCAATTAGTATAACTAATAAGTCATAATCTACGCCCAGAGACTTGATGGCCAAGATGACATCATGGATTCTACACAAGATACCGGATTGGTCATCACGTGGCTCGACAACTACAAGATACAATACAAATAGAAAAAAAATCATGTAGTCGAGGAAGAGAGAAGAAAAAGGATGGTCAGAAAATAGATGTACTATAATAGATATACGTACCATTGTTGCTGTAAGGATGTCTTGTAAACTCAAGTGAAAACACAGGCGATGTTTCATCATCTATTAAAAAAGCAAACAAAGAAAACAAATTATAAGTATGAAAAAGTTAAGATTATGATAATTTAACAGAAGATTGATTTTACAAAACCCTTTGAAAATCCACGTGGACTGGTCATGCGTGCTTTCAGGAACGCCTTTTTAATATAAACGAAAAAGAAAAAATCCACGTTAAAATTTTTGTCTGGAGTGGAACTGTGTAAGATATATAACGATGTATTATACTTTAACCATTTTGAGATCGGTATCAAGTGCGGTATTACTGGATCATTTCAGGAATACTAAACATCAAGACAAAAAAAGTAAATACGTTAGAATGCGCGTTAAGGCTTTATTCGCATCTTCGTGATCGCCATTGCCACACACACACTTGGTTCAAGAAAACAGCTCACATTCGTTGCATCGAAGAAAGAGGTTCCCTGAAGAAGGTAAAATAAGACGGGAAAATGAGTTAGCATTTTAAATTGGTAAGCTTTCACTGCACGTGGAACGAAAAACTGAACAATGGTACGTTTGACGCGACAAGTGCAGTGATGGTTGTAGTTATAAGTTATATACAAAGCATTAAACCGTCAATGAAACCCGAGTGAAAGAATGTTTGKGGAGATATTCTGCAATACCGATAGAAGTAAGCGTTCTGTGACAAACAGAAACTTAAAAGTGGGTCAAGAAGCCCACCAATACTTACTTCTAGAAGCACGGGAATATCTCAGGAGACTACTCCCAAAAAATACGATACATGAATAAATAAGAAACATCTGCAAAAAAAACAACCGTTGTTAATTGTATTACACTCGCAATACTAGTAAGCAACAACAATAATAAAATGTCAAACTTTATTTCAGTGGATATGGTTTACAAATACAATATACTTGATTGTAAGTAGTTTACAATATTGTTATAATTGAATACCTCGAACTACATTTTATCATATAAATCAATTAATATTAAATATAAATAAATAAATGGCAATTGATAAGTCAATATTGTAGAGATTTTATTGATTTTTCATCAGATTACAATTTTTGAACTGAATTAAGTTACGAGATAAATATGAATGAGTATACAATAACATGACTTCTGTTCTTGCAAAAGTACTAAAATAACAACACATTACAACACATTTGAGTTTATTTTTCATTTCAATTGTACAACGTTTGACAACAATCTTGAAAAATCGTAAATTATAAATTATAAAAGATTAGACAGCTTGCTGCAGGCATCTATCGTTCCCAGAAAAAATATCATCCTAATACTATAGAATATCTGAAGCGATATGACTTCTGAAATAACTAAAATATTCAAGATTAGAAGCACACAACTCGTATAAATTACTGTACTAATTATTATAAAATTATTTATAAAGTATGAGGGTTAGAAAAAAGAGAACAATCTTAATGCCAATTTAAATTTAATCTAATCTAACTATCTTATAGAAATCCTATACCCTATATATGAATACAAAAAACTCCTAGAATTACTAAGAATATAATATATGCTTTAAAAATTAGATAATCATGAGCCTAACCTATAGATCTCGGGAATTTCAAAATAAGCCAAATAAAGTTCGAGCCGAAATATTCTTAGAGAATCGATTATGAACAGAAACATCCCGTTTTTTTAWACAGGTGGAGATTGCGCAATCGTGAGACACGACGTTTTGATTCACCCTTGGACAAACAAAGATGAATGAAAATCTCGAGAAATACAAATACAACATTTGTTGTAGCTGTACGAACGACAGACATCACATATAAATAACAAAAATCTCTAATCTAGTCCCTAAAGAAGCTACCACTGAATAGAAAAAGACTATCGCAGACTCTTGTTCTCAACGCCGCAACCAAGTTTGGTTGTTCTTGGACAAACTGCAAAGCAAAGTTTTTAAATGCCATGGACATGAACTGATGGATAACATCAATATAGTATTGATGATCTCCATCGATATGATGGCTCTCATGGCATTTAGGATTAGTATTTATGGAGACATGACTGTCATTGAGATCGACACATGTATAGTCAGGGTTTATCAAAAGAAAAGTCAATGAAAAATTAGAAGTACAAATGATTAACGAACATTTTTGATATTAATTAAAAACAGTTTTGGAAGTTCAAAATGTACAAATTCTACATCGTTACGAAAAGATCTAAATTGAATTTCATTCAAATAGTCACGTTGGAATGTCTAAACCAATTCAAACCCAGACTGTGCCAACCGAGGATTGAGACCAGAATCTTATCGGAGGATCGAACTCTAACCTAACCATAGGCGCACTAGGTGTATGTGTGTCTAGTATTATAGCTAACTGACCACAACTGCACAACACAATGACAGATCTCCAGCTAATTCTAAATCAAGGACCACAGACACAGTTTATGCTCTGACGAGCTGTAGTTTGAAGAATCTTCCAGTGCTTGCCTCCAGTGTACGGTTCCTCAGTCGTTGTCAACTCGTTGGCCTAATAAAAAGCTAACCTAATTGGTCCCATGACYCTGGCCAATTGACCAGTCAAAAACACTAGTAAACCCCAGCTAAGTTTAGTAAAAGTGGTAGCTTCTTCTAATGTTATCTGCTGGGCTCCATACTTTGTATTTCTGGAACCCTCTTAAGTCTAGTCCTAACTTACAAATAACGTTTGTATATAAATGAAAAATATTTGGATTGTGACAACCGAGGTAATTCTTTTTAAGAGAATAGTTCAAATTGCTGTGGTCACAAACCAAAAATGATATATTTAGAAAAAAATGTGACGTTCCATATTTGATTTAGGAACAGATTCTTAGTCCCACATATGAATACTGCCCACAAGACACGTCAAACAAGTAAACGCAAAATAAGAAAACAATTTCAATAGGAAAGACGCCAAAATATGTAGAATTTAATAGCTTGTTTGAGGTTCTTGTGTTAATATATGTACCTACAGTAATACCTAGTGTCGTCTGTTGATTGTGCCATGTTTACGGCTATGGAACGCGAGGAGGACCTAACAAATAATGAAAAAGCATGCTTTAGTAAAACATTAGGAGAACATTTTTCTATTTTTCATATTATTAAAATCTTATTATAGCACACAAATGTATGGTTCTCAGCATTCTTCCTAATACAACATCCCCAGATGCAAATAGGAATGCGCGGCGAAATGCCCTAGTGCATTTTAATGTCTCCATGATTATATCATTCTTCAATAACCTCTAAAACTTTAGCAATTGAAAAGTCAAAAACTTCACATGGTTTTGGGAGCGATAAAAATGCATACATGAAAATTATGAAAAACTTTTACTTACAGAAACAAAAAAGCCTTTATTCGTTCCTCGTTCGAGTTTAATTTTAATGCTTTTTACGAAGAAAACATTCATGAAAAAGATTTCTTAGCTATAGTGTTAAAATTAATTCACATAGGTATAGAATTGAACGAGGCGTCCTTACATGTTTTATAAATAAATGAGTTTTATAAAATACTACATGTGAAATGGTTGCAGTAAATGCTAGTTATATTATCATTAAGGAAATTTTGTCGAACGGCATAAGTTTTACAAAGAAGCTAAGCTTGTCACAATAATTTAAGAGCAAAAGATTGTACGTCCTTAAAAAGCTTTAGTATTTTGCTATACTCTAAAAACAAGAAAAAAATATTACATGAAAACTTCAGAATCTATTCATTATTTTAGAAATACTTTAGTTTTTTGAAACCCAAATCTAAAACACTAAWAAAGATTTAGCGCAATAACACTGAAGATTAACTTACCAGATCAACATGTCGTTGAAGAATGAGCGGGAAAGAGAGAGAGCACGCGTGTAGATTGTTTATATACCCAATCAGCTGATCATGTGATGCTTATCACGTGACATCAAGGGCAGGAAGCGTGGAATGTTAAATATCTGCTCGGTGATTGGAGGAATATTTTGCACGCCTTTTGCACTCTTTAGAGTAAAATTGACTTGATTTTTATTTGTTCAGGAAGTTCAAGAAAGCAATCTTAATTTATATTTWAAAAAAAGATATATTAAAAAATCTCTCGTTTTCTCTGCTTATCAATCATTTAAAGTATCTGAAAACTCCCAGATTTTCGTTTTTACAATTTAGTACGCGCCCGAATAAACAAATGCGGCTTAAAATTAGAGTGACCACAGTAAATCCGTGAAACACCAATAAGCCTGAAGCGAGATGACGTTTTACCCCCGTCTCTAGACCATAATAGTTCTAAAAAATTCTTTCATATAAAAATTTTTGATTCCTTAGAGAATACAGGGACAATAGTCATAATTGAAGAACAAAAGCAATGTGAAAAGGATTATGGTCTAGAGACGGGGGTAAAACGTCATCTCGCTTCAGTCTTATTACTAAATAGTACAAAATAGTGCTAATTAAACAATAAAAAACAATGGAATTTGCATGAAATTGTGCTATTTAGTATTACTAAAGTTTCACAGTAATATTGTTTGCACTCTACTGGTTTACGACAAATGTCTTGGAATCTGATTTTTATCGCTTATTAAGTGAATCTAAATATCCACTGAAAACATCCGATTTATCTAAAGAACGTTTCACAAGAGACAGGAAATTACATCAAGTGTAATCAAGCGCGCATTCACCAGAAGACCAATCAAGGTACAAACAACTGTTAGGAGGCAAGAAAAGTTTACTGTAACTTTTTACACGTACTTTTACACCACAATCCTCATTCTATAATGGCCTTATAAATTATATTGAAACTTTCAGTGCTTGGGCTGCCTGTGGCAAAGTATTTACATTCGTCTTTTCCAGATTTACATGCGTCATACACCTAAATCCAAAATGGCGTACGACCGGTTGAAAACGAGGCATCCAGGGCCGAATTTACAAATTTACAAATTTACAGTGTTTTCTTATAATTTGATGCTACAACTTTGTCGCGTTCCTGAATGTAAGAAGGAAAGAAAGACAGAACGAGTGAACAAGTGTATACTTGGCATTGACACCATATTATTTCTTTGCACATGACCCTGGATTCCTCGTTTTCATATAACACTCTCGACCGTACGCCATTTTGGACTTAGGTGTATATCCTCCAAGAAAAACCGAAACCACAATTTTTTTGGGGTTCGAGCGTTGTTTATATAAAATAGTAAATGTAGTGGTAGTGAGAGTGAAAGGAGGCCCACATCAGCGAAAGCTGCCCATCGTCCTCCCGAATAATATTCTTTCTGGTAGATCCTTCCGCGAGTTGTGGCGGTTTGACCCTCACCTTTGATGAGAACATTGTATTATAAGTAGTGGACTTACCATTTTGGGAAAATCCCAAAATACAGTTGTATTAGTTATGCTAATAAAGAAGATGAAGATGTGGCGTCCGGATGTCAAAGGTCGTTTTTACTATAGTCAGCGCAGGTCGTCCTTCACGAATTTGCAGGATGTGATCCTATTGGAGGACGCACATGTGAAGAACAATAGAAAACAATGACCTTTCCCCAACCCCGCCCCTAAACCTAACCAATCACAGGGGATGTTGCAAATTCTTGAAGCGTCAGCGCGCGCGCCGTCCTTAGTTTTACACGTCGCTTTGTTTGCTAAATCAGTTTACTCTATAATTTGCCTGTCGCTTATTTCTCCAGTGAGCAATACACATCAAGACCAACACGTCTATGAACTCAAATATAGTCAACACACTGCATCCAAGAAACAGACCCATGCTGCCACCAAGATCATCTGCAGGATAAAAGATATTTCATTGGATGATTTATTCGCCATAACGAGTAACCGGGGTACAAGGCCGGACGGGGGTTCTTCAGAGAGTAAAGAGACAAACAGTGCGCGTGTTTATCGTATGATACATTTTCTTACTTGCTAAATCTGTCAATTGGTAGGCCGGAACTTCTGTACTGATCTCTGCTTCAAGTTCTCCATAAAACACACTAAGCTTGATATAACGTTTCCTATCCACAAACGAAAAATCATTTGAAAAAAAGGTTAAACGACCACGAAGATAAAGTATTAGCGATTCCGAGGATGAAGACAAATCTGGGTCGAGTTCGCAGTGCAATGCATTTTGGGGCTACTTCAGGGGACATATTTTCACGTCATTTTCGTCCCCTGAAACGGCCCAGAATGCACTGCAATACATATTACACCCAGTTTTTTCCTCAACATCGGAACGGAGCTAACAACTTTAAGCCAGACCTGTACCTACAGAACTGAATTAAAGCTAGTGTTATCACGCCAATTTTTGTTATATCTTCCTTTCAATAGTCCCCTTCACAGTTGCAGGCGCCATATTGAATATTGAAAGGTAGCCGTGCCTTTGCATCGAAGCCAAACGAACGGTGAGCTTGCAATGATAGAGTACGTGTGAATAATTGTTCAAGGTGTTAAAAAAGGTCCCTAACACTGCAAGCTCACCGTTCGTCTCGCTTCGATGCAAAGGCACGGCTACCTTTCAAGATGGCGCAGGGAACTGAGAAGGGGAATATTGATGGTTTGCTATCGTTCCCAAAAGATTTAAAAGTTAAAAACATGGCTGACATCTTGGTGCGATAAAAAATGGATGCTAATCTTTTGTTAAATGGCAACAACATGGCCGATATGACATAACGACGAATTCAGAAAACAAACACGTGACAAGGTGTAGGAGCACCAATTTTGACCAATATTCCAGTTCTGTTAAATAGAGGATTTGAACGACTCGGTGGGGCTTACCACGTTGGTTGGCATGGTAACATACTGACCTAAACCAGTCTTGGTATCCAGCCATACGCTTAGGATCTGAGCTCAGGTTGTTCTTCTGAACAATAGATTCCCAGAAGGTATATGAAGGGAAATACATGGAGGATGTCTGGACGTCGTACTTGACTCGATGACATTGGACAGTACAGTTACAGCTCTTTTGGTTTACTGCGCCTTAATTTAAAGAGGAAGAAAAACAGAAGAATGAAGATTTAAAACAAGTTTTCTCTTTTTGATGCAATGGTGTGATGTTAGTCAATTGAAGTTGTTGTGGTTGTTGTTGTTTCGCCATAGCTATTGTTGGTACTCGCCCTCAAGTACTTCCTGGACTGATCAAGAGCCAATGGCATGTCCTGTCATCTATCCAAATGTTATAAACTTATTCCCAAGAAACGGAAAAATAGCAAACTTAACTTTTGTGTTGATAAATATTATCAAACAATTTGTTGAGACTAATCCTCAACGAGGGTATTCCGGAGTTCCCGCGTTCCTATGTTTCTATTCTACGTAATCTAAATAAATGTCCCGCAATCCTTTGCGCGGTATATGTTTTACATGTGCTTGAAGTAGTGTGCCGTACTTGTATACCGTGGTGTCAATTCGGTGAGTTTTTTTGTACTGTTTTCCTTTTTCATTTCCCTTTATACATTGTAATTTTAGCTTTGGAAATTTTAGGTTTCACCGGGCCTTTTCCCTAGCATCTTTTTTCGTGGTATTGGACTGATTTGTGTGAATAAAGTTTAGCCTTTAAACTATGCCCGTGTAGAGCCAAATCGACACATAATTCCTTCGAACAAAACACGCTACTTCACAATTACTGTGCGGAGTCACTCACCGGAACTACTTGGAATAAAGTTGAAGATTCACGACATAGAGTGAAAACAAAGTCAAGCATAAACCAATCAGGAATGAGCAACGAAGCATAGATATAACAATAACTGTGTGTGAGTGAACGTCAATGAAAGATCGTGATTGGCTGAAATTAATATGATACTGATTTTGCTCTCTCCTGATTGGGAAAAGTTTCCTTATCTTAAATATCGTTCAAGTGGTCCCGATTAGTGTGTCCACAGATAAAAGAAGAATTCAAAAACGTCAGAGATATCGTTCAGTCTGGTCATACACCCCTTGCAGCAATTTGGAATGCAGCTCAACCTGGGGGACAAAACAATAGGTTCCAATTCTCAGAAGTTTGGAATTCTTTTGTTTTGTTCCCCAGATCGAGCTGCTTTGACATCACACGCAAGGGGTCTATAGATTTACCTCTCATGCTAAATTAAAGTTAAAAGCAGCTTCATGTCATAGCTTTTATAGTTGTTCTATAAGTTATATATAGCTATACTAACATCACATCAATACTCACTATAAGTGCCAGAAACACAATTTATTATTTGCCAAGGCGTACACCAAGGAGAGTCAATAGGTTCTGAAGCAATACGACAAACATGTAATATTAATTACCAATTTACCAAAACTTAGAAACAAACTAAATGAGTTTTTAAAGTGTATATGACACGAAAACATTCCATCATTTAAAATGTATAGTTTGTTAGTAATAATGAATATATCGTAACAAAATTTGTTTCAAAAGCTTATTTCTTGAGATATTTGCGAAAGTTAATCCCAATTTGTGACGTCATTTTGTTGACACGTACTCTAGATTCAGTAGTAATGTACTAAATATAAATTGTAATTAATATAAATTAACAACAAAAGACATATTTTAGTCAGCTTCATTTGATAGCTTACGTAGTACTCTTCCAATGTTGGGAAATTGAAAAGTGTACTACTTGAAATTAAGATTCTATGTTCAAACATATTTCGTGTATTTGCAACTAAATCTGGAGACTTGTAAACAAAATGACGTCACAACTCGTGCTAAAATTTTTTGAATTTCTAGAGAAATACGTTTTTGGAACAAATTTAACCGTGATATTCTTATTAATGCCAATAAACTACACATTCTTAACATTAAAATTTTTTCGTGTCATATACACTTTAATATTAACGTATAAACAACTTAAAAACTAACAGTAAGATTAATGTGCACTTGGAAAGAATGTTTCATGCCTTACAAATTACGAGGTCACATCATTTTATAACTTTTGTTTGACAACTTAATCCTTTCCCAGGCCAATATACCTCTTTAGCTAGCTTGGCCGTAATGTCTTCCCATTTCAGGCGACAAGTCATTATCTTTAAAAAAGGATACTTCCTTTGAGTCGTACCCATATTTGTGTGTCTTCTCGTGCGCAACCATTAAACAAAGAAATAATGCTCAAGGTTATAACACGTGGTCTGAATTGGGAAAACAGTTACGCCCAAGCTAAAGAGGCCAATCCTCTCTCCTGTTTATTAAAAACCCATCGCTGACTCACCTGACTGACTTAGCCGCATCCCCAGCATCTGACAGCCGCAGGTTCTTAGTAGGATGTTTGTGTAGCACTCGTGTAAGCAGCGAGTCTGTGAATAACCTTTTCCTTTCCTGCAGGACTTGGGGTATGGAGCTGGTAAGCTGCTTAGCTACAACATTGTTGATTCTTTAGGGGGATTATTACAATGATATAACATCGTCATGGAAACACTTACGAAACTTACTTTGTCTTAAACACGTTTGCTAAATAATATCTGCGTTCTGATTGACTCTGCAGTACTAATAGTCTATATAAACCACTGGTAGCGAAAAGTGCCGGTTTTAAATTAACAAATAAAACAGCTTTTTTCGTGCTCCGTTCAGTAATAAAGCACGGAGGAAGTGACGTAAGCACGAAAGAAGTATAAGGACAAACACGAGCACGAGCCGTAGGCGAGTGATTCTCAAACTTCTTGAGTGCTTACGGCGCTTCTTAAGTCATGGTCTGCTAGTCAATAGCCCATTTGGCCCTCGCTTTCAATGGCTATTGACTCGTAGACCATTCGGGCTTTGGGTGGAATTGTTAAATAGAGGTGTCTGGCCATAATATTTTCCAATTCAACCCAAGTGTCATTCCCTAGAGTATCATTTATTTGATACACTGATTACACCAATGAGATGTATTAGCATGCAGCTTACTAACATTAAACACCTCTAGGATTGAGTTGCCAAAATAAAAAAATCTGGAAAAATTATAATGCAATTTTATTGCATAACTGTTGCACATATGCAATATTCACTTGTGAAGAAAATATTTTTTACCTCTTTACGTTTAATCCTCATTTCTACACTACTACCAGGCGAGATTTGCCAGGAACCGCTTTTCTCCATCGACGGGTGTTCTTCCTGGTCATGAACGATGACCCTAAACCCAGTCCCTTCTCGACTATATAGTCCATAATACTCTTCGGGCTGTACATCAAGCTTAAGTAACAGGCCAAAAGTGTTTCCTGTTCTTCTAGRTTGCAAAATACTCTGGCTATTTTTGCCAGAGTTGAACGTATAGCAGCGACCATACTGAAAGAGAGATCAATGGAGATGAGAAGATAGACTTCTTAGTGGTGTGAACGGGAATCTACTCGGGTTTACTCCCTCTGCAACTAACAAACACGCAAAATTCCCATTCGATCTGTGAGTTATACAAGCTCTGATTTATTTATTCATTTATTTATTTTTTGATTGGATGAAAATTACACTGTGTAATCCTAGTAACCCTGCCAAATTGTGCAGTCTTTAGTTTTGTAGTTTTCTGTTGATCTCCCGTTTTCTCAGCCATTGTGGCACATTTTCCACATATAAAGTCAAAAGGATGACGAGAGAGAGACTCACCTGGTACTCGAAGAACGGTGTAAACTGGTATGGTTTACAAACACTTCCACTCCATCTACACTTATCGTCTKAAAGCATTTCCGTCAGATTCTGACCATATTGAACAACAGCTTCTTCAATGTTTAAAGAATAATTCAAACCACTTTCAAGATCAGGCCAGGCGCTGCTCGGTTGCCCTCCAAGCACGTCTAAGTACCGCTGAGCAAATGTACCGTTGATTCGGCTTCTCCGCATCATATTATTGTTGCAGATGCTGACGGCAGGGAAATCAAGCACGTCTCTAAATTCGTTGTGATGTCGAACAAAGATTTGATAAGCTGCAACCTTCTTCAAGCCGGTGTGAATTTGATTGCCAAGAAAAACCCCGGATCCTACCAACAAGAGTATCCACAATGCTCTCCGAATCTTGGAAAATTTCTTGAAGGTAAACTGGAAACCATGGAGCGTAGAGTAGGAACCCAGTTCTTCCCATAATTCTCTTGGGGTTTTATCTTTATTTGGCATTCGGTTTGTTTCCGTGTCTTGGGTGTCTGCAGGCTTTGTCTCGTTCATTTCCATGCTGTAAACAGATATTGCTTTAAATATATAGATATGACGTACGCTTTAACAAGCTTTTTTGGGAATCGAGGATGGTGTGAGTGGTAGTCAGTACACTCGCCTATCACCTCTTGGGTTTCGGGTTAAATTCCTGGACTCAATATCACATGTGAATGGAGTTTGTTAGATATCTCTCTCTCTTGATTTGAGGGTTTTTCGCCAGGTAGTCTCCGGTTTTCCCCCTTCCCTTTTCTTTCTTTCTTTCTTTCTTTCTTTCTTGTGAATTTGTGAAAAGTCAAGTAATTATATAATTATATCACATAATTATAATCATATATTAATATCAAATATTAATTTATTCAGTAATTATATAAAATTCGAAACTGACTATTTGGAATCCCGAAGTATGGGCCCAAACATTGAATCGACGTTCAGTTGGCAAACAGCCAAACATGAAGAGGCTCTTGACTAGACTCAACCAGTTTTGGGCACATTCCAGTTAGGAGAGTTAGTCGCTTTTATAAATATTAATTAAATAATTTAAGAAATTCAAACGAATGAGAAAAATCTGAGGAGAAATTTAGAAACAATACGAATATGGTAAAAGTAGATATTGATATAAAAACATAAAAAATAGTTAACTTCATAAGCACTATAAGATTAGAAGATTTTAAGCTTTCGCGTGAGGTATTTCAATATCTCATTAAAATGATAAAAGAGAGACTTAACGGTTTTCTTTTCAATTTTTCGACTGCAGCTGTGAAGAAGACTCCCACAGCTTCATTCGAAACATCATGTTGTCAAAAAACGGTCTCTTTATGGTCATTGGGATATATTCCAAAATTTGTGTGCCGCAAATGTATAAAACTATATAGACCATAGCTAGTGGTGTTGGCTTTGGGTAAGGTTAATTAATAGTAGTTTACGCCTTCCCAGTTATAACCCAACAAATAAGAGGAGCTCAAATACTGCTGGCGCACTTCCAGATAAACATATATACAACATATTTTCTAGTGATGTCCTTTTTATTTCCTTAAAAAAAGATGGTATAGTGAACTATTGGCATCGTTTAATTTAATGTCGGATGGCAAATGTCAATAAAATTGCGTTTATATAAGTGAACGACATCTGAACGAAAAAAATTTTTTTGAGGGTCACGATTTTATCAGTAACCTAGCTCGAGTAATAGACAAATATTTTCACCATGTTTAAGTAAAAAGTGTTTATTATCAAGTTGTTATTAATTGTTAGTACATCTGYCTTATAGTTAGAGCCACACTAACCTGTTTAACTTGTGCTGGATGAGTTCTCTTCAGATTTCTTGAGTATCTTGGTGTTTATAAGAAGGAATGAAAGCACCACCACCAGTAAAATCCGCCGGTGATTTCAACAAATTACACCAGTCATTACTAATTCGCTTCTATAATATTTTCAAATTCCTCGAGGATTTTCTATCTTCTTGATCACCAGGATCACCAGTTCGACTACGACAAACAAACCCGCACACTACTCTGTTATCGAACTTCTTGAAGATTTTGAGATAGAGGCGTTTTTTCTCGATTTCACTGCAAGACAGCATCCCTTATTCATGAGACAATTAAAATCGCCGTCTACAATGGCTGGCTCTGGTCTTGGTGTTCTAGTATATGCGTTTTAATATCATGAAAACTGGAGAGCTGCCAATCACGCTATTTACCCGTAAAAATGGAAATGATGAATACTCCAGTTTCGAGTTCTCTGTTGCTCAGGGTTAGCCTCGGTTTTGTGCAGAATATTTATGTGTTCCAGTCAAGGTCCGTGGAAGTCCAAAGTGTTTCTATTAGAGAAGTTGTGCATTCTTTACTTTACCTTTGTTATTTGTGAATGTTTAGACACTTATTCGGGGCTAACCCTGAGTAAATGAGTCTGTAATCAAGGAACTGAGCGTTATTTTGGAACTCGAGAATTGTCTATTTGATGGAAGATTTACTGATGACTAAGAGATATTATATAATCATCAGTCATTTTACCTTGGGCTTAATGTTGCCCACTTATCGTCCTCTTAGGATTATGGACGTCATCTGATGTGTAATTTTAAGTAGAAGCTGAGGATGTAAAAGAGCCACTCACTTGAATTGTAGAAAATCTAAAAGTCATTAGATCAAGAATATGATGCCATCAATGTATGGCTAGTTCGAGTTTCAATCCCTTTTTGAAATGAAAAAGAAAGAAGGAACAGAAGGAGAAGAAGAAAAAAGAAGAATATAACCATGATATTTTTAAATGTTCATGCGATATTTTCAAAATCATTTGGTACAATGTAAAATTGAAGGATATAGAAAGACTAGTTTTGATGACATTTGTTTATCGATAAAATCATACTCCAGACTACATCCGTAACGGTTATGAATGCACTTAACAATTAAATAGTGTACTTTTTGCTTACGATGATAGTAATTCTCATCTATCCTCGTATTAAAGACATCAACCAATCAACGCCTGCTCTGATAACTGGCCAGCGGCTATGTATAGTGAATACGAGAAAGACAACATGTGATTAATGAAGGAACTACATTATTTATGTGAAAAAATAACCCTAACGTATAACATATAAATTGAGGCTCCCTCCTCCAGCTGATCTAAGAGAAAATGTTAGCCAATCAGAATCGAGAACATTTGCAAAACTGAGGTGTCACTTTTCCTCTTGAAATCATGGATTCCAGGCCACCCAAGCATTGTTTGGGCTGCCTGTGGGCCACCAGGTTGATAATACTTACACGATAACTGATGAATGTTATATTGTTATTGCAATGGTGGTCATGTTTTTATTTTTCCGACTGGTCAATTTCATTACAGGCTTCATGCAATCTCAGTTTTGCGATGACGTCATTTCTACTTCGCGATCTCAGATCAGCTGGCTGTGAAAACTTTCGACTTGGATTCTTGACAAAAGATGACATTATGCAAGAACCCAGTGCTACTGGGTTGCCTGTCTTTATTTTTAAAAAAAGCACAAGTAGACTCAAAGGCTGTTATAAGTCTGCTTTTTGATCAATATATTAATCATACTTGTCATTTTAAGGCCTTGGGTTCTATAATGATTGTTAAAAGTTAATCTTTTTAAAAGCTTTTGGTACAAAAATCCCAGTCAAATAGCATGTTGCTTATATATGATTTACACGAAGTATTCCGTGTTCTGAGGATTCAGTTGCTCAAGTGACTCCCTTCATTGCAAGTTGATCTTTAAGCAACTTCTCATGATCAACTATTCCTTTTCCTTCGTGCCTACGAACACTTCTGGCTTTCTTGCAGTCTACTGCTTGTCTGCCGCTTCCTTCTCCAGTGAGCAATGCATATCAAGACCAACACGTCTATAAACTCGAAAACAGTCAACACACTGCATCCAAGAAACAGACCCATACTGCCACCAAGATCATCTAAAAAGTACAAAATCCACTGAATAACGAATAGACGTACAGCACCCTTAGACATGTTATCATATTCCTAAAATAGACCTACAAAGTGCGATTTGGTGTAAGCATCCATAGATAGCATAGAGGGGAAAAGGCTCTTGAGGTAACCCAAAAACGTCAGGCTCAAACAAGACAACTGACTGGAAATAAACGGGTTCTCCCAATCCTTGGTCTTCTCTTTTCCCTCCTCTTCCTATGCTAATTTTTCAGCAGAGCCTTTCGCGACCATTGTTTGCTATTTTTTGTTCTCTATTAATATTAGATTATCTTACTTGCTAAATCTGTCAACTCATAAGCTGGATGTTCTGTAGTTATCTCTGTTTCAAGTTCTCCATAAAACACGCTCAACTTGACGTAACGTTGCCTAGCAGCAAATGAAAATCTATATCAAATGCTTACGATCAAATGTTTTACGGTCATTTTAGATACGGGACAAATAAAAAAACAAGTTTTGAAAAGCAAAAGCCAGAACAATGACAGGACTATGAAATGAAGGACTGGCTTAAACGATTACGCGTGAGGCTTACCATGTTGGTTGGCATGGTAACATACTGACCTGAACCAGTCTTGGTATCCAGCCATATCTTTAGGATCTGAGCTCAAGTTGTTCTTCTGAACAATAGATTCCCGGAAAGTATGTGACGGGAAATACATAGAGGATGTCTGGACGTCGTACTTGACTCGATGACATTGGACAGTACAGTTACAGCTTTTCAGGTTTACCGCGTCTAATTTCAAAGGAAAACCAAAGAAAAAAAACTTAAAAAGAATTTTTGTCGTTGTCAGTGTTATAATTAAGATTGGTGGTCAGATGAAGTGGTTAAGGTTGTCGATTTTAAGCTGAGTTGGATTGTTATTGTCTTTGATGTTCATATTGTGGGTTTCCGGTATTATTGATTGAATCTACTAAAGGTGCTGTTGTCCAGTGTGGTTGTTGTTGTTGTTGTTGCTGTTGTTGTTGTTGCTGTTGTTGTTGTTGTTGTTGCTGCTGTTGTTGTTGCTG